GATGTATATATGTCGTTCGAGGCCATAATGCAGAGAAACTCTTACTTGTTTGAAGCATTTTTGTTCCTGCTGCATCTGACGATATCATTTTTGTAGGCCTGGGGACAGATTCTGTAACCAGTTAGCGACAATTTTCGAATCGGCATCGGTTTTGTTGACGTATGATATGAAATATTTTTACGTCAACAAGTGCGATATCGATCCGAAACTTGTCGCTAACTGGTTACAGAATCTCCCCCTGAAAAGCTTCTATATCCGTAAAAGCATTTTTCTTGAACCTTGGATCAACTAAGATTAAGGGCCGGTTGTTCAATGTCTGATTAGTACAAATCGGTAGAAGCTCCGGTTAGATACAACGACTGCTTTATCGATCACATGTTATATGCATGATGTCGAAATCGTCGATAATGATGTTTAACCGGCAAGTAGTGATAACCAGACATTGAACAACCGGCCCTAAAACTGATAAAATAATATTTCTCTGTTGCGATAAGTTCAAGTGTTTAAATCGATATCATATAAATTAGTAATTAAAGTTTTTTAAACTTGAAATGCGTATAATGGCGAAGGTTTAATGTAAAGAATCGGTATCTGGTACCGAAAAGGAAGTATTGGTTACCGAAATCTCTTTTAAGTATTAGGTACCGAGTATTGGGTACCGAAAATTCAGCATATCACTAGCTCTTTCACAAATTCTGGTCACGAAATGAGGTTTTTTGCGTTCCCGTACTTCTGGATTATGTTCCATTTTTGAGAGCAAACTTTTCACTTACAGGTCTATTCTGCTTTGGTAATAAAAAGTTTGTAACCGGTAAATAAAGTTCCTGTCAATTTTTAAACCCTTTTCGCATTCTGTATACTCTTGTAACCAGTAAATTTTGTTACCATCTTATAAGCTGGTAACAAATTATTGCCCCGTGAAATATGCAATGCCAGGATTTGCACAATTCTTCATAGTTGAATTGCTGAATATTTTAACTGCATTACCAACGTAGCTAGAATCGCGGTGACAAGAACTGGTAACATTTTTTGGTAATACAATTTTCCGGTTACAAAATCTTCCATAACGTGCAGAATAGACCTGTTATTCTCTAATTACCGGATCCGGTCCGGATTGTTGGGGAAAGAACCTCATAAATTAATAGGGGTCTTCATATAAAGTTATAAAGGGATAAATTGCTTAAATTTATCAGTTTATCCGCTTTCTTTCATGAACGCACCTTCGTAAACAATTGCTCAAAATTGTTTATTATTCAACTTATCTGGCTAGTTTCGTTTCAGTGGATAGGTTTGGGTTTTGGGGTTGGTTGGCACTTTTCCCAGACGCCAGGTTATATTTACAACTCTTGAAAAACTTTAGGTAGAAAGCAGGATGTCATAAGCATACATATGTATGTCAAAACATACCGAATACCAGCTGTTTTACTAGCGGTATAGTAGTGTTGCAAAACAGCAGGTTACGAAAAAGTTGCAATTGGTCGCTTTCACACTGGAACATTTCTGCCACGAGAACAACCATAGCTTCTTTCCCGTACGCAACGCGGGAGCCATATATGCAGTTGGGCTCCAAATCCAAATTAAAAAAAAAATATTGGAATCGATAGATTACTGAGCTGAGTATAACGGTATACTTCTTTTTTTGGGCAAACAACAACAACAACAAGAATTATCAAAGGTTAAATTTCAAAATAAGCAATTTTTGAAATCAAGATTTCTTAAAAACGAATGGATGGACCTTGAAAATTTTTATTATTATTATTTTACATTAACCCAATTTTTGCAAGAACCTATTCAACATATATATAAAGTACGTATACCAAATTAAAGGAATCAAATTTTCTATTAAATGAGATAAAAATTTTCAAAATCCATTCATTCTTTTTTGAGAAATCTCGATTTCAAAAATAGCTTATTTTGAAATTTAACCTTTGATAATTCTTGTTGTTGTTGTTTGCCCGAAAAAAGAAGTATACCGTTATACTCAGCTCAATCATCTCTATCGATTCCAATATTTTTTTTTAATTTGAGATTTGGAGCCCAACTGCATTTATGCCTCCCGCGTTGCGTACGGGAAGGAACCTATGGTTGTTCTCGTGGCAGAAATGTTCCAGAGTGAAAGCGACCAATGGCAACTTTCTCGTAACCTGCTGTTTTGCAACACTATACTATACCGCTAGTAAAACAGATGGTATTCGGTACGTAGGGACACGATATCGAACCGAAAGTATCGATATGGTACTCATTTAAAGTATCGCTTTAAAAATATCGGGTACCCATTAAACTCGGAAAAAACAGACTCGATATTCCAAATATCGATACCAAAATCCAAAAAATTTATCTGAATATAGGCCACTGGGGCACAGTATAGACAGTAACCAACCTTTTTGGGTTGTTGTTGTAGTAGTCGTTGTTGTTGTAGTTATATTCACTCCTGAGGAAGGCACGGGGTTGTGTGCTGCTATTTAATGGCCTTCCTCAGACTTTTTCTTAGATTTCAGGGTTGTGTGCTGTATTATTATTAGATAAATAAATTTAAGTATTTGTCAAATCGAGATTTTATTAAAAGAAAATTATAAATGGTGTTGAAAAACCAAACAAACGCTCGTGCGAAAGCTCTATTTTTGTGTATTGTTAAAATTTATACATGCGTACTTATTCTTTTGTGGACTTTATGTTTCTTGAGAATTTAGACAACGTGCGAGCTGCCAGGTTCTGTTATCAATATAATTAACACAAGCTTTTCCGAGTGGTTGCCTTTCAAAATAAAAAGAATAAACAAATATTCGCAAATAAATTGGATTTATTTTATAACTGACAACTAACCTACGCTTTTTGTTCTTTTCTCCATTTTAATTTTGACTCCTTATTACCGCCAACAAATTAGTTTGTATACATATTTACAAGCTGTCAAAATTTTGCGTAGTCCCACGAGCTAGGTAAAACTATGGCATTCGTATTCACAACGAGAAATCTCAAAATTTTTGTTTGGTCTTTCCAAATTTTCTCTTTTTAGTCAGTTGGCAAAGGCTCCTCAGTGGCAGCGCTCCGAGCGTTGAGATAGTAATTTCATGTCAATTAGTAGAAAAGTTCCATGTTGAAAAAACTTTATTATGGCGAGAAAATTTTACATTTCTGCTGTGCCAATTCGTAACTTTTTACTTTGGAAATTTTTGACAGTTGCTCTGGTTCAAAAGAAGTTGAGCAATTAAAATCAGAAATTATACAAAAAAGACTTGTCTTTACTGACATTTATTCTTCTAGAACTAAAAGCCATGAATTTATTAGACGCCTTAGTAATAAAATCAAACCATCAGGCTGGGTTGAAAATTTTCATTCACTTCATTGTTAACAAAAATTTACAATCCGTAGTACTTTTCTATCAATTCGCAAATGCGTTTAATTTAAATCGTTTAGAAAATGCGTCATTTATGTATACCATTTTATGTGGAATTATTCAATAACTTTCGTTTTACACTATACTTTTTGTAACTATTTGGAGTTAATTATTTTTTGTTTCTTAAAAGCAACCCTGCGTGCTTGGAAGGCGTGTGTACCACTAATTTCATCCCTAGCATATTCATCCCCGAGGAAGGCAGTCGCCAAATTCACCGAAGGTTGTTTACTGGTTATATTGTGCACTGGGTTGTAGTGGTTAGAAGTGCGCAACCCTTGAAAATGAAAAACAGCTTCCCATAAAATTCACTCGCCGTTCAAAGTCGACATAAAACTGTAGGCACCCCCTTTGTGCCACAACATTAAGGCCCACGCGACAAATCGGAGAAGTTCGGCCAAACACTAACATATTGTGTAAGCGCCCGACTATTATTATTACAACACGTAGAGATTGAGGTGTTGACTTAAACATTAATTACAGTTTAAAAATGTTCATATTTAAATCAAGTGAAAAGTCTTAACCAAATGGATTTTTCCATTATACATACACTACGTACATATAATGGAAATATTCAATTCAAATACTCCCGTACTAAAATGAAGCATTTTTCACTACACGGATGGCGTTTTGCACGTCTCGGATGCTTTTTGATATGTAATTAAGAAGTTATATGTATACAAAGCCTGCACAGCGCGCTGAAGGAAATACTGGTCCAATTGCTCGAAAAATATAGTGGTAGGTATAGTAGTTTTGTAACTAGGCCAAAGATAGTCCAAAAATTTAAAGCAATGTAATGTAAAACAGGTGAATTGTACTAAAAGGGGTCCGAATCTAATGCATAAGGTACGAGTTTTGTTCTAAAATTGGTTACAATGTCATGCAGTAGCGGACAATGGGTATGATTCACGATTTGCTGATATGTAGGCACTTAGTGAACGAATTTTCATGTGCGGCGTTGGGATGTTGAGAGAGTATCCGCTTAGAAAATCTGAGAACCCCGGTTCGAATCGCAGTTGGCGCAAGTTTAGTACGGGAGTATTTGAATTGAATATTTCCATTATATGTACGTAGTGTACATTGTGTATTTTTCGAGCGATTGGACCAATCTTTCCTTCAGGAATAATGCACTAATCGCGCGCTGTGATGTTGATTCAAACTCAACATTTGAAAACACCTTTACATGTATGGCTGCAGCTGAGTGTGCAAAGACGCTTGATACAATTAGTTGCGGCCAAGAGGGTCCGGGTTCAATTCCCATCAGACGGAACATAAAATTAATTTTTTTTCTTCTTAATTACGGAAAAGCATCTGTGCACTTCACAACCACATATTTTATAACGTATATACTCAAAATTAAAACGAGTTTGGTTTGTGCTCTTTCATATGCGTATTTTTTTCAACTTAGCACGTTATTTTTTAATTCTAAAATTTTCTTCTCTCAGTGTTGGAATGTGAGTTTATGACATTCGATACGATACTAGGGTTCTGGTACTCGATTCCAAAATATATCGTTTGAAAACTATCGAATAGAAAATATCGGTATCGAATGCCAAAAGTATCGATATGGTATCGTATCGTATCGAAATTCGTGTCCCTATCGGTACGTTTTGACATACATATGTATGCTTATGACATCCTGCTTTCTACCTAAAGTTTTTCAAGAGTTGTAAATATAACTTGGCGTCTGGGAAAAGTGCCAACCAACCCCAAAACCCAAACAAAAAAAAGTTGTAAATATTTTATTAAAAGTATGATAAGGACCATGGCTTTCCCTGGCTTGTTAAATATAAATAAGTGCAATCGACCAGCCTTCACAAGGCTTTTTAGCGATGATAAAACAAAGAATCCCCACCCGATTCGACGCACGTTAGAACTTCTCACGAATGATATGAGGAAAGTTAAGAAGTTTTTTACTCCCTCAAAGGAAAAGCACGAAGAAATCTTGGAAGAAAGCCAAGAGCAAATTTCATATGGCAACGAGTTTCAGACACACTGCGACGTTCTTGTTATTGGTGGTGAAGGTGTAGGAGCTTCCACTGCATATTGGTTGAAAAAAAAAGCGCGACAAGGATTAAATGTTGTTGTGGTTGAACGTGACTTGCCTGTAAGCATAGGCTTTCATAATTTATATATATATATTTTTTTTGTGAATTTGCTCGGGTTTATTCAAGGAATTTTAATTTGTAGCTAACATCTTTTTCCACCAGCATTTCAATAAGGCTTGTTTAACCTTACCAGTGGGTGGCTTGCACCAGCAATTTCTATTGCCTGAAAATATCGAAATGGCGCTTTACGGGGCAGAGTTTTTAAGGAATTCAAAAGAAAAGCTCTGCGTGGATGTAAAATTTGATCCCCATGGATTTCTCACCTTAGCTTCTGAAGAAAACGCGGAAACCCTACGAAGTATGTCTCAAGTACAAAACGAATTTGGAGCCCGCACACAAATTCTGACACCAGAGCGTTTGAGACTTAAATTTCCTTGGCTAAATACTGAAGATGTGGCGTTGGGTATGTAAACGCTTATTAATTATAATTAGCACTTGTGTTTAAAATAAGTTTTTGAATATTCATTTAAAGGGTGTCTAGCTCTGGAAAAGCATGGATGGTTTGATTCAAACAATTTATTATCAGGGCTAAGGGATAAAGCTAAAGAATTTGGTACGCATTTCTTGAAAGCAGAATTAATAGACTTCGAATTCCAAAGCCAAACAGACATTATTGTGGAAGGCGGAGGTACAACTAATACTTACACGGCGTTGGACAAAGCTATTATTAAGATGCCGAATGGTGACAAGCGTTCCATAAAATTTGCGATATGTGTAATTGCTGCTGGGACAAATTCTGAGCGAATTGCTCGATTAGCAAAAATTGGCACTGGTGCTGGAATTTTACAAGTGCCACTACCAATTCGTCGTCGCCTCTGTCACGGCCATATTTTTGGTACGAATGCCATTAACGCACCAGGCTTAGCAACACCCTGCATAATTGATTTAAACGGTAAATACTTTAGAAGAGACGGTTTAACTGGTAACTATATTACAGGATTTAGCTCTTGCCAAGATTCAGATTCTGAAAATGTACCAAAAGAAAATCATTTTGAATCGACTGTTCTGCCTTACCTAACGCACAGAATGAAAACTTTTAGTAAGCCCCATGTCACCGAAACTTGGGAAAGTTCTTATGAATACAATGTTTTTGATGAAAATGGTATTATCGGTCCACATGCTTATTATAATAATCTCTACATTGCGACTGGATTTTCTGGTCTGGGTTTGCAGTTGGCGCCGGCAGTGGGAAGAGCGATTTCTGAACTTATAATTGATGGACAATTTCGCACAATCGATTTAACAAGGCTTGGTTTTGACAGAATCGTTGTGGATCGACCAATGTTCGAATATGGTTTGATGTAGATACTGCATCAATAACCTTAGTCGCTTTCAAAAAGATAAAATTATGTAATACTTGTTCGATTAATTGAAATTGTTAATAAGGGCAATATAATTGTAATAATAATAATCACATCAAGATTAAACATTGGGTGCGTTCAGAAATGCGTCAAGCAAAAGCATCAGCTGTGTTCCAATTAGGCATTAAACTATGGTTGGGCATATCGAACATTTCCATCCATTATAGTTTAGAAATAAAAGAGACTGATGCTCTGGCTTAATGCATTTTTGAACACACCCATTGTTTTGGAAGGGCCTAATTAAAGATTAATCTAATTTCAATCAGCCCTATTCTGCATTTCGATTACGTTCCCGCATTCCGCTCCGCTACAATCGTAATTCTGAGACACGATTGAATCGAAAAAAGAAGAGGAAGAGCGAAAGCATCTTCGAAATCAGCTGGTTGCCTAGGAATGTGTGAAATCGAAACAAAACAAAAGAAATAATTGCACCAAACTATAGCAGCTTATGAAGTTAAGGGATTTCGCCGACCTAAACGGGGTTATATCGCCGAAACAACAGCCCTCGATCGGGTTAACCCCGAGTCATTCCGGTACGTAGAACCGGATGTCGTTCTTGCCAGAACACGACACTCAGGACAGCGACATGATGCCTTTTGGTGTCGCCACAACACCACCTGCACGAGGAGGCCCACATGCTCCATGTTAAGCGGCATAACACAATGCTTTGGAAGCAGTTTCTGGTTGGGAGCCACAGAGGTGGTCACCCAAACAGACAACTCCTTGCAGAAAAGCCTTCGCCCAGGCACGTCAGCAGGCAGAGGTTCATCAAACAACCTCTGGACCCGACAGCTTATCGACAGGCCTGAATGGCATTCTCAGAGAGGCAGTCTCGAGTTATATAGACTCCCGACCTGTGAATGCCGTTCTGGGCATGCAACCACCAGACGTAGGCGAGACAGAACTTCGTCTGTCTCGGGAGACTCGGACGACAATAGCCCAACTGCGCCCTGGTTACTGCAGCAGGTTGAACTCATACCTTAGCAGATTAAACGAAGATGTTGGGCTTGTTCGAGTTGCAATCACAACCGCAGTGTTGCGCGAATTATTAAAGTATCGCGTTCTGTGTGAATATCTAGCAATGTATTATCAGTTGGGCAGTTGCAACAATGTTGCCATTTTTCATCAGTACGGCAGTAATGCCGCTTTTATTACGTGCCTCGAACAGGCCCGTTCTCAACGAATGCCCGGCATGCGGAGAGTCGCCCCATGACTCACAGCATCTCTACGTATGTCCTCTGAATCCCACCACGCTAAGACAGACCCCGTCGAGGCTGCACGCTTCCTGGAGCTACCGTTAGTAGAGCTTGACGACAACGATTGAGATACTTGAGATACTTCGCCGACCTAAACGGGGTTAGATCGCCGAAACAACAGCCCTTGGTCGGGTAAAACCCGAGTCATTCCGGTACGTAGAACCGGCTGTCGTGGGAATGAGCAATAGCCCAACTTCGCTCTGGCTACTGCAGCAAGCTAAATTCCTAAATGCGGATGTGCCGAACGAATGTCCGGCGTGCGGAGAGACCCCACACGACTCGAAACATCTCTTCGCATGCCCGGAAAACCCCACAACCCTAACGGCGTCGTCCCTATGTACTGACCCCATAGAGGCTGCACGCTTCTTGGGGCTGCCGTTAGTGGAACTCGACGACAACGACTGAGATATCAGCCGATCTGGGCGGGGTTGTTGTAGCCGCTACAACAACAACAACAACGATTGAGGGACTAACCGATCTGGGCGGGGTTTTTGGAGCCGCTACAACAATAACAGCTTATGAAGTTAAAATTTGTAAATATTTTAAAATAACTAAATATATCTAACCCATTTTAATTTAAAAATAAAATTTCGTGTTCTTAATTTAAGTGGAAACATAATTTATTGCTTGAAGAGCAGAACGAGTCCCAGATTGCTGATGTGAAAGTTGAAAGGCGGAGATTTAGGACCATGTTTGATCCTTTTCAGACGAGTGAAGAATTATAAGAAATTCATCTCGAACTGCATTCTCACCGCTCAAAGCCAGTGAAATTATAAACTTTGTTTGAGCACTCCTCAACGTTTGCATTTAATAGAGTGGAAGATTTGAAAACAAATGAATTCGATTTTGAAAGCCGTCAGCAGGATGGGAAGAACAAAGCTTATCCTTCCATTCGAGACAACATACGCACCTCGTTTTAAAAAGTTAGTAAAAACAAGTACAATAATAAAAACATCTTTTTTTATGAAACTCCACATTTTATGTACGTATGTATGTGCATAAATCTATTAATGTTATATAAAAACAATAAATTGTATTCAGTGCATTTCAGTGTTATTTATAGATAATGAAAACAAAAACGCCTGGACTTACTCTTTGAAAACCCCGCGCAATATCCCTTTTGGTTGCCATTATTTGAGCCAATTTTTCGTACTGCCCGCATTGCTGCTCGCGAAAACACAGAAATCGAGGAAATTCATTTATGATGACTTACAATCATGCACAGTATATTTTACTTAATTTTTTTTATACGATTTTTATATTTAAACCCACGAAAATAACAATCGAAACATTCTCCGCAAGGCGAATTTATACAAGGTGGTGTTACTGGCGAATTTAGATTACAACAACTACAGCCATATGTATTTTGTATGGAGTGTGTTACGTCAAATCTCAATTCGCTCCAAAGTTTACATGTATTTTGTTTTTGCTTTTGATGGGTGTGCTGTCAAATCAGCAAAAGCAAAAATAAAATACATGTAAGGCGAAGAAATCAGCTGATTTTACAACACCGCCTTTCATAAATTCGCCTTGATTCTCCATCAACAAATTTGCAACTTAGAAGAACGTAACTACCAAGGCGAATTTATACAAGGTGGTGTTGATGGCGAATTTAGATTTTCGCCGCGGTACTTCCTAATGTCAAAACGATGTCTGTTGTAAACAAGGCGAATTCAAAATACAACAAACACATCATTTTGACATTAAGTATCGTGGCGAAAATCTAAATTCGCCATCATCACCACCTTGTATAAATTCGCCTTGGTAACTACGATCGAAATGTAGAATAGGTATAACCAAGGCGAATTTATACAAGGTGGTGTTGATGGCGAATTTAGATTTTCGCCGCGGTACTTCTTAATGTCAAAATCATTTGTTTGTTGTAAACAAGGTGAATTCATATTACAACAATCACATCATTTTGACATTAAGAAGTACCGCGGCGAAAATCTAAACTCGCCAGTAACACCACCTTGTATAAATTCGCCGTGGGTATAACCGTAAATTTCGAAGATTGATCGAAACGAAACGGAACGCAGAATAGGGCTGAACAACATAGCAGTCAAAGTAAGTCAAACAAACAGTAGCATTTAAGGATACATTTTTATCTAAACAAATAGGGTTTCATACTTTATTTATTGAATATCGAATTAATTTAAAAACGATATTTAACCAAATGAATAGAAATTGTATTACGATTGCTTTCACAGTAACATATTAACCGTAATTATTTATGTATTTCTATTTAAATTGTCCTGGTGTCGGACCAAATAAACCGCCACCCTGCTTACTCGCAGCTCTTGAAGGAGCGAAACCCAACAATTTTTGTATATTTTGTCTAATTGACATTGTGCAGAGAATATAAAGAAAGATGAAAGAGCAATCGGTATAATCATCGCCGGATAAGTTCCTATGACTTAAGCCTTGAATCCAAGAAATGGGCGTAAACGGTAATTGTGCCACAACACGACCATCAAATCTGCGATAATGTGAATTTATATTATTTGTTGTTTTTTATTATTCGAATCATACTCACATGCTGTTGAACATGCTGAGGAGAGCGGTGAATGCAAAACCTGTTGCAAACATGGACTTCATTTTTACCAATGAAAGATCTCTATTATTGTTCTTTAGTTTTTCTTCATCACGCTCAATTTTCTTCTTCTGCGATTTATCGAGAGATTCTCCATGGATTTCCTTACGTCTTTCTACTAATTAAATAATTGAATGTACTTTCTTTAATAATGGTTTGATCGTAAAAAAAAAACGATGGCCCCTATTAGGAGTTGCATTCGATCTTCGACTGTGGTCGAAAGTGCTGATCGAACGAATTTTCACTTTTATTATTATGGCCACGGTTGCCACACGGTAATAAATTTTCTGACCAGTAGCTCGTTTCTGTAACAATTCTCTACCAAGGCGAATTGAGATATGAATTCGCCGCCCTGTTCTCTACTGCTAATTAGTAGAGAATGACGTATATTCTCTACCAGTAGAGAAATAATCGGTAGAGAAGAGTTACAGAAACGAGCTACAGGATTGACAAAAAAAAAGTTACCTAAAAGTTACCAAGTAAAAAACAATATTTTATTATACAATAAACTGCAAAAATAAACCTCGCTTATTTGCCATAAATAAGACATGGGTACAATAAATAGTTGTATTAAAAGAAAACTAAAATTCATTTTTGGTATGAGGCCATCAGGGCCATAGGAGCCTATCTACAAAAAAATTGTTAGTAATATGAGAAAGAAGGATCTATAAAAAATAAATGCGGTCTTTTACTACGTGATGCTACATATTATAGTAAAAGGAAACTAAAAGGACATGCGTCGGGCTATTGCCATTTCGATTCTGGTAATGCGTTTTAAGATGCACCTCAACTTTTTTTGATATGACAGTTAGGCTACTCTGGCGCTCAAGGTCTCATATAATAGATACATTTACAAACATATGTATATAAATACATTTTTATTCAATCTGTGAATACGTACGTGTATAAAAAAGGATATAACAAAAATGTGTGAAACAAAAACCAACACATAAGTATTTTCGCAATGAACGCGTTTAAAAATATACTTTTCATAAAAAACACGCTTTACGCTCTTGTCTTTCAAACGGGATCTTAGCCTCTGAACAAAAAAATCGACTTGCATATACCGTCTCGCTAAAGAGCCCAAATACCCCGCACAAACTGCTGTTCAAACCGCCTTTTTTCATTTCCTCTACACCGAGAGAAAAATTAACCAAAAGTGGTTATTATTACCAAATTCAAACTTGAAAAGGAATCAACGTTGTTTTTGGTTAATATTAGCAATGCCTTGGTTGTTATTTTCAACAATGAATTGGTAATATTAACCACAATCTTGTTTACATTAACCAAACTTATGCTCAGCACTTCACTGATGCTTTTTCATAATTCGAAGATACAAAACACAATTTTTTGTAATCATTTCAACACGTGGCCTCTGACGGGATTAGCAATTAACAGCAAGCATCTCTACAC